AACGCGCGTGTTAAAAAAAACCTAGTTATGAAATAAAGTGAGTATTTTTTTCATGTTTGAAGTTTTTCAATGCTAAAGACAAATAACATTATTTTTCAATTTCCCTCAAATCCTCTTTCATCCAATCATTTGGATATGTTAAAATAAATTAATTAATTAAAGAAAAAAAATTAAGGACTTTTTAATGACTTTTTTGTTATCTATTTTAGTTTTTATTGATAAAAAGTGAACAATAATAAATTAAAAATAAAAAATTAGATAATTAAATAAAATTTTAATTTTCTGTTATCAGTATTGAAAGCTCATACTAATCACGATGTCAATTTCAATTTTAAATTTTGACTTTTAATTATCATTTTTATTGTTTCAATTTTGATAAAAAAAAAAAAAAAGCAATATGTTACTAAACTTGTCCTAACTCTATTCGGAAATACTGTATTGTAGTTATAATTGTAAGTTTTTTTTATACTATTTACAAATATATAAAGTATTTAATTCAAATTAATTAAAAATTAAAAATTTATATTTTAAATAAGATACTGTGTGAAAGATAAAAATATATAAAATGCATGGCCAAATGAAGCTTAAGGAAGCTTTTTCCATCTCATTCCTCTAATTTTTTTTTTTAATTCAATCAGAAGAATATTTTTCACTTTGACAATACTTTAACAGTATGTTTGGGTTGAAAAGAATGAAAAGGAGAAGAGGAAGGGAAAAAAAATTCCTGTATTAAGTTCTAAAAAAATTGAAAGGAAGGAAAGTGGATGAAAGTCAATAGCTTTTTTTTTTTTTCTTTAAGAATTTGGTTACACAGTTGAAGATAACTTCTTTCACATTCTTTACTTATGTCATGTATAGCTGTTTAACTTGAATCTAAAATCTTTCATTTTATTAAATTAAGTGAGGAATTACAAATGAACCAGTTAGGTCATGAACGAAATCTACCATATTTCTTAACAAAACCTTCTTGATTTTCCAAGAACTTCACTAACGACCTTTTTTAGTTAGTTCTAAATTAAATTAAATTTCATAAGTTTAAAACGTATGTGGTTCTGGCCAACCCACAATAATGTTATGGTCACCCGAACTATAAAATGTTATTTGTAAAAATATCGATTTTGTTTAATTTAACTAATAAAAATAATTAATAATTGTAACTAATAATTAATAGAGATTAGTGTGTATCAATCTCGATTCGAAAAAATAATTAGTGTTCAAACTCACATCTGAAAAATGAAATCATATCCTATTAAATATTGATATTTAAATTTAAAAACCTATTATATATTTTACTATAATCAATTTTTAAATTTAAATATCAACATTTAATAAGATAATTTTTTAAATTTTGAATTGAGTTTTAATTAAATAAAATGATAAAGTCTAAGATTGAAACTCCAATATTTTTGGAAGCCAATGTACACATTTCTCTAATTAATAACTAATAAAAATATGGATTTTTATTAGTTAACAAATTAGTTAGTAAACTGATATTTTCATATACTATTTAAAAAACCAAAATTTAAGTTATCTTAAGAAAATTGAGGGGCAATATCTACACCCATTGCTTGCAGGTAGGGTAGGCACATTTAGGATATTATCGAAATATCTAAATTTTTTACTCAGATTCTTAAATTTTGGTTCAAATAATTTACGTATTTGGATAAATTCAGATAAAATCAAAATCACGTAATATAATCTGGTTCGAATATGCTTATTGACTCATATTCAAAATTTATCAATATGAGCAATCAAATTATCCAAAAAATTTTAGTATTAAATAATTATTTATATTTTTGGATAGAAATTTTTTTTTCGTTAAATTTATAGACAAGAATCTTTAAAAAAAAATTAAGAATAATCAAAGTTAAAAAGAGTAAGCTTTTATTAACCAACAATGAAAAATAATGATTCGTTAATATTGATACATAAAAAATTTTGGTCATTTTGATTATTTTGGTTAATAACTGAATACTCTAAATAATTTTTAGTTATTCAAAACTATAACCAAATTAAATATTTGATTTAGGTTTGATCCCTCATTCAAAATATTTTCGAAAATAATTGGTATATTCTCTTATCAACACATTTAATAATACCTAAGAACCAACGAGGGGTTAGATCAAGTAGTAAGTGGTTTGTTCCAGCTTAAGCAAGATCTCGAGTTTGAGATATTGTGTACGCAGCAGCTTTCGCTGGGAGACTCACTCATCATTTCCAGGTGCGCGACGTGGGTCGGGTTCGGATTAATCGGGGCGAAAGTCCGGATACGGAGCGGGAAACCAAAAAAAAATAACACCTATGATTCAGTCATTAAAATTTGTTTTTAAAATTTTCTGATCTTAAATTCAAATTTAAAAATATTAATTTGTTAATAATTAAATCGATGAGTATTATTAGATGTGTTGAATTAAAGATAGAGTAATCACTATCCTTTTTCAAATAACCACCAAAAATTTAATGTGTTTGAATGCCCAGCGCTTGCACGTTACATAATCATATAATATAAACTCAGACCTGCCCGACGCCTTAAGTGAAACGTTCTTCTCCATCCCTTCGGCCAGGAAAAAAAAAAAATCTTCTCCATCGCTTTTTTTTTTTTTGACAAGCAAAAGAGATCTATTAATTTGAAGTACAGGGGTACTCAGAACCCATTACAAGTAATTAAATTTAGCCATCAAAAGGCCCCTGCATATTACAATGACCTTCCGAAAAGGAAGGGGGCTCTATTCAGCAGTCATTTTATGTTACCTGAAATCTACAGTATCCTTCCTCTTCCTTTTGCTGCCACAATTGATCTTTAAGCAGCTTGCCGGATTTTGGATCCAGTCTGATAGGGTGAAAAAACAGCCTCTCCTTTTACTTTTAATCCATTTGAAAGACCTCAACTGAACCAGCTCTAGCATCCCTCTAAACGCCTTCTGTAAGGATAGGTCCGAGGTGCCCACCTCGGACGTACTAAATAATTCTTCAACAATCGAAGTGAAAAGTAAACCCAGCTGCATAATAGTTATCGTGAACAGGCACGCACCTGATTTCTTATGAC